CCCCCCCCCCCCCCGGGGTGTAAGCAGCTGCAGGAGTTGCCCCCCCACAAGCTACTCCTTTGTCCTGTGTCCCCTTCCCTCTTCCTCTTCCACCACATCAGATTTACCAGCTGATGGCAGCTGTATTGGATCGGCATCAGCCAATATGCCTCCTTTAACTATTGGTATTGGCCCTCAAAATCTGTATCGGTGCACCCATAAAAGTTTCTGTTGCAAAGAACTTGGAAACCCATAGCTGTGGCTTTTGCATTTGAATTCTCTGGGTTTATCTTGTGAATCATGTTTTGTAAACTTAATTGTCCTAACACTTGTGGCACCATGCTGCACCTTTTCAAGGGATCTCATGGCACCCTGGCTAAGAGTAACTGCTCTAGGGAGATCATGGGGAAACTCCAGGCACTTCCTACTGGAGACAGTTCAGTAGCACTGCAGTGCCTGAAAATGACCATTCTACTTGGAACACTTGGCAGTGTACCTGTAGATACTTCTGAACTGTGACAGTTGTGAACACATTGCCAATCACTGATCTTGCAGTGGTTTGATTTATTGTGTGTCTGCACCCTTAGAGCACTAATTTAGGACTAGTGTTTGCCTTAGTTACTGATCTGTAAAATCCCTCTGGAAGGACTAGTATCCCTGTCTTTTAAAATGGCAACATTTGGACCATCTTGCCTCTTTCTGTGCAGTTCTATGGGTATCATCTCAGTGACTGGTGTCATGATCATGCCAAGTTGCCAGTGGTAGAAATTCTTAAGAGAAGAAATGAGTAGTCTGGACTGTCAACTAACTAGTTGCTCTTCCCTTGCTTCGAGTCTGCGATTGGGGTAGCTTCCCCTACAAGCTGGGTCTAAAGATGGCATTCTGTACCCATTGGATTAGCATAAAGCCAACTCCAGAATTTTATGGTTCTTGTGTATGTGGGGGGAGAGGGGGGTGCATGAGACTTTTGCAGTCTTGTCCCATCTTGTCTTCACCTTGCTTTTCCTGAGCACTAAGCAGATGGATGAATGGATGTACCTCAGGAGGGTAGGTGCAGATGCACTGAAACCAGAGTCCCCTTCTACACAGGTAATTTGGATCTACATGGAGAAGAAATTCATGTGGACTGGCTCAAACCAGAGATGAAGCAGAAGCTCCGTAACAGCTTGGGGAAAACTTCCTCTGAAGGCTTGAAGCTTGGTTGTGATGGTGGTGCTTCGAGCCAGAGGCCTGATGGCCCAGTGCCTTTCCCCTTGCATGTGCCACTCTCCAGTATGTTGGATTACCTCAGTGCTTTGTGCAAGAAGCAGCAGCTGGGGGAACCTGTGTATCTGACTAAATGTGTCCAAGTGAATCCTGATGGCTGGATGAGGTTTTGGTACCAAGTGGTGATTCCAGGCTATCCGTCCCCTTTCAGTGGGTTTATATGGATCAAGCCAGACCAGTCTGGCTTGAGTGAACATGAAAAAGCCAAGAATGCTGCAGCATTTCAAGTACTCAAAACTTTAGGTGAGTCCTTACACTGTTTTTTTTTTGGGGGGGCATATGCAGACACATTCTGCTCAGGGCAGTGAAAAATCCAGGGATTATATTTTCACTTTAATAATGAGCTTAGTTACTCCTGCATGTTCCTTCCACTGGGGTATGAAGGGATTGCTGACCTTTCCCTGCAAGGGCTGCATACTAGCACATGTGAAAGACTTCAAGATGAACATGGGCCGGCAGTGTGGGGAGGCA